GACACTTTCCACAGCACAAGGCTGTTTCAATTTTTAAATCTGTTCATATCCCAACCATATTGATATTTTTTTCTTTCATGTTGCAGGTGTAGATCTGAGTACAATCAACATACACTTGAGTTGAATAAACTAAACTAATAGTCACTGTGGTGTTACATTCTTTGTTAGTAACTATCCCAAGTAAAAGCACTTGTATAAGTGATTCACAATTTCAATTAAAAAGAAACACTGCATTTTGTTTGTTCATCTTTTCTCCATTCGATAAGGTAATTATCTAAAATGAAACATGGCCTAATTTCACCTTGAACATGAAATCATTTCCTGGGGGTGAAATCATTCAACTGTTAGCTACAATCTTATAGATCTTATATTTAAGGGGAAGAGGGGGAGAAAAAAGAAATTCCTTACTTTCCTCTAGTTGTTTCAAAGCTTGATTTTTGATAGTTGGTTCTTTGGCTTTCACTGCTATCACCTCTGCTGAGATATGGTTCCCGTGGGGACCGCTTTTCCACACCACCAACTGAGTTTAGAGAAATCACTTGTTGATTTGACTTTCTGGTAAAGCTCTGAAGAAATTTCAACGTGGAGTTGGAAAGGACCACTGACTCTGCTCCAGAATTGAACTTGATGCTAGATTTGGTCGGGAGGAGGAGAGTTTGAAACTTTAGCAGCCCTTCTTCTGTCCTCTTTGGGGATGTGAGGGTTGGGTTTCTCACACCCTCAGGAGTTGCACTTGTCTCTGAGCGAAGCAGTGCTAACTTTAGAAGGCTCTCTTCAGAGGATTTTGCCTCAGGAGTTGTGGCTATCTCAGCTGACGTGGTCCAAGTGGTTGACAGCATTTTGGGACTTTGTATTTTATTTAGAGGAACCAAAGCAGAGGTCCTATTCTTGGAGTTTCCGTCCTCGGATGTCGGCATGGTGTTGCTCAGCCCAAAGCCCTTACTCCATATACTAGAAAGCAGGAGAAATAGCCTTGCTCCCTTCATTTCAGTAGTTTGATGGATGAAAGCTCAAGTGAAATTGGGGATTAAGACCTTCTGGGCTTTTCAACAGCTGCTTCCACACTGAATCGGCAAAGACAGAGCTTTGCCAACATGAGATGTGTAGAGGAAACAGGTTTCTGTGTTTTGTAGTGGACTCAGGAAGCCCGATTTCCTGTTTCTGTAGGTTTTGTGTGATCTGTGACCTCTGGTGGGATGGATCTATGGAGGCAGTGAAGGGTCTCTGACGAAGCTAAGGGTAAATGGGAAAACACAGGCAATTATTATCAGGAAAACCCATGAGAAAAAGACAAAGTGACTTTGCTTCCCTAGGTACACTCATGTTTCATATGTTGCTGATTTTGAAGAGATGCTTCACGTTGATTATGGGGAGTATGGGTTTGTTTAGATGGGCTGAATCAAGGA